TTTTAAAGTTTGTAATACCTTCGTAGAGCTTGTATTATAAAAATATCTTTCTATTAAATTGGAGCGTATTCAGATAAATATTTATTGTCAGTGGCTTTGTTTTTAGAATTATTCAACAAGAAATGTGAAGAGGTGAAGCAAGGTGCTCGACTAGACCTAATCTAAATATCATTGATTACTATTTGTAGGGACAAACGATTATACTATTATAGTGTGTATATCAATTTTTCTATAAATAAAGTCCTTACACAGAAAAATCGCCGAAAGGGCGAACATAATAGGGTCAACTTTGAGTGCAACTATCTTATCATGAGGCCATGTCTCAACAAAGATCCCCTGTTGCTTTTCCATAAGTCTGATTTTATCTTAACAGAAATAACAAAAAGAGACATCACTGGTGATAATGTTACTTATAACATGGTTATCTTAATCTAGCCGGTGCTAGGGGGCGTGAGGACACTTATTCATTATCCTTCATGTGCAGACTCAATCAAACCCAGTCTGCAATTTTCATGTTATTTTGGCGTGAATAATGCTTCCGAGGGATCACTTTGTTTCCACATTCTTTTCCTATGTAACGATTTAAATTCCTTCATCTTCACAATTAATGAACACGCTGTTTTCAGTGTATTTTTATATACATGTATTGTCTATATGTCTGTACGTGCTACTATTGCTCCATTTCAGAATGTAATTAACACCACGTGGATGTAATATTTCTTTAGAATAAAAGAATTGGCATCTTTGTAGATCTACACCTTTTTTTCTCTAAAAGCATCGTTGTGGTTTATTTGCCATGTTTTGCCATTCCACCACAGACATACGGTTAAACCCGATTTCATTTCAACTAAGGAGCATCAAACTAGCTATATATTGTTTCTCAAAAAGAATAAGTTCAAATGAATTTTTATTATCAAATACTTTTACAAATCAATAAAAATCAATGATTTTGCCTTCAACGACAAAATGTTAAAATTGTACATATATACATTTGTAAAAGTAACACTAAATTAATGCATTTTGTCTTAAACGACAAAAATGGTTCATATTTATACAGTTTATTTGCCTCATACAAATGTTTATGTAACAGATTAAAACGCTTATTATACATAGAGGATATTGAATGAGTGTAGGTTTAATACTAAATTTATTGAACGAGTTGAATAAAATCATATTATGCGAGCCTCAGGCGAGCATAATATTGTTTTATTCAACGAGTTCGATAAATTTAGTATTGAATCTACACGAATATAATATTCTATTTATCACATATATAAAATAAGAACGGTAAACTGTTAACAAGAGTCACTTTTATTTGACGCGCCTATAGTGGTAACGCTAACATTAGCGCGCTTTAACGCTATGTTTATAGCGCAAATGACGTGACGTCAAAGTGTTATTACACTAGTGTAATATCGTCTAGTGTAATATCGTTTTTATTAAATGGCTTTATTACACTCCTGCGCCGCGGTTTATGTGATAAGTCATGTTTAAATACTATATATATAGAAATCATGAACTTATTTTCTTATTAACAAACACTATGTCCGTCTTTCCATATATATGATTAGTCATCAACTGTACACTTATGAACCGAGATGATAAACTTTGCACAACATCTTTCAAATACTGATTTGTTCCATGAACTTCGATATTAATCATGCTGACGTCAACATCTTGAAACGGAAATGACGTCAACAACTGCATTTCCTGCCCGGTGACGTCTAACACAAGTAAATCAATGCTGCTCCGTTTAAGGTATGTTAATATGTCCGATAATGTGAAACAAGAACCCTCGGTGATATTATTGAACGGCCAGTTTTCAGTTGATGCCTAGAAAAGAAGAATATCATTCAGACATCATACATGCTTGCATTTCAACCCGACGTTGTACATAGCGTCTTATAACATGTCAACAGATTGACACGAGAGGCAGCAAGAATATGATTTACGTGTTAGAAAGAGCATCAGAACACAAGGCTATCTGATTTGTATGAGGGGATGTAGCCCCCCCCCCACCCCGAGTATTAATCAGATTGCACGAGTGTTTTGATGTTCTTTCTCTTTTGTATCATAGTCAAACATAAAACATCTTCCTTGTTGTCACAGTATGAAACCCCGGCAAAAAGTAACCAATGAACAAACATCTGAATATGATATATCTGTCGCTTTCCCTTTCTCCGCCGTCACAATAAGTAAACCCCTGCAAAAATGAGTCAATCAATTGGCATGCTCTGGAGTGCGGGTAACTAATACCTATTTGACTGTGATACAAAAGAGAAAGAACATCAAAACACTCGGAAGTCTGATTAATACTCGGGGCTACGCCCAATTGCACAAATCAGAAAGCCTCGTGTTTCGATGCTCTTTATATTACTCAAATTTCAATGTTACAAAATGAACATTTTATTACCGTTTATTGCATTTTTTCTTGAATACAATTGCTAAGCACTCTTATATTTTCTACAAAGGCATCGTACGCATGTATTTTTATGAGCTTTAGTAATGTGTTTTAAATCAGTTACATAAAAACAGACTTACATGTATACAGGCTTGTAGAAATTTAGAATTCCTCCTCATGTTCATGAGGGACTCGAGCTTCTTGCTATCATGTTCTATAACTAATCCAGTCCAACCTCTACTTTTCTCCAATAAATATGTCAGCGAATCTGGTCGTACTCCGTCAGTTCCGATCTCCACGAAAAATCCATGCTCCTGTTGAAACAAATGAAAAGAAAATCTAAAAGTGATGGATATGCATATCTTTATTAATAACCAAAGAGGAAGCATCATTAAGATAAGTTATTCGGCCGTGATTAGCCTTGTTTAAGTAATGCTCCATAATGCCTGAGTGGCCTTACAATGAAGACCCTCAGCAATGCTTAATTACAACACGCGAATTGTCTGTCCGGTAAAGGACGGGACAATTATAGCAAATAGCCTGTATATTTTACCGAACGTTAGGTGAAAACAAACAGCCTATGGTCCAAAACGATGCAAACATCATCATAATATGAGTTATGGATCTTGGACAGTGGCCTCCTATGATGCTCTCAAATAATTGTTTGCCGTTTCAACCCGTTCTCTTGAGTTGTTTTGCAGATACCAACCTGCACGCAAAGTTTACAAATATTTAGGAAAAAGTCTGTTATAGGTATTACACAAGCGGCATGACGCCGGCATTAATGACATTGGAAAGTTAGTTATTTCAATGCCTTAAACTAGAAACAATCGCTTCTTGAAATATCCACAGTGTAACAGATCTGGAGATTTGCTGTTATGCAGTCTAATAGTGTAACAGCCTGGCAAGATGCAATACTTAATCACAATAAGCATTCTACAAGTATTAAAAGTATACAGAATATCTTATGCGCAGGAATAATCATTCAAAATAGAAACAGTTTGTAATTTCTTACATTTCTGTTTTACCACAATTTATATACAGAACCAGACGCAATCAAACCGAATAAGTAATTTTTATGTAATTTTGTTGTTGTTAATGGTTCCGAGGGATTTCCCCTTTTCAAGATTTCTTTTTACATTTACAATGTATTTATTGAATGTTTTTATCACCACATTTCACCACATTGGTTTCAAAGTTCAATGATTATTGTTTTACACTTATTTAATTTAATCAAGTTTTCATTTAGGGATTGGGGTGTGGTGGGGAAGGGATATGATTGTAATTGTAATTTGTTTTCAGGGCTTTTCAATCAATATACTCATATACGAGTATTACACTCTTGGTTTCCATGTAACTGGGTTGTAACCTTTGAACACGTCTTAAGGTTTAAATATATCTCAATATAGAAAAGTAAATTAATGTATTATCATTTTGTTCAGGTGCTAGGTTGCTAGGTACATGAACATGTCTCAACACATGAAAAATCTTCGGGTAAGAATAATATCTTTATTACACAGCTCAATAGTTTTACGTACAAACCCCTTCCTTTTATTTACATTTGTTAAAAAGCATTGTCAAATAAACTTATGCATTGCTGTCGAAGTTCTTCATGACGTTAAAATGTTATTAATGTAAAACCTGTAGACATGTTTAGAATGATAGAGAATATAATTATTATACCATTGAAATTGTATACATTGTTATAAAATATATTGAACGAGACCCATCAACCCTTACCATTATATATACAAAACATTAGTTATTTAAATGAACTAGATCTATCCACTCATTAACATACTCTCAATTGATCGTGTGGGAGTTAGGCGTCTCTAAAAGGTTGTGTTATACCGGCATGTATACAAAGGCAGTCAGACATGCAAACTGTCACTTAATAGAATGAAATTTGAAATTTGAATTCAATAATCGTAATAAAATGCACTTTAATTTCTAATTCTAAAGACAACTTTTAATGTTTGTTGAGCAACATTAAGTTATTTCAGTTTATATCTGAAATTTTGATTTGTATAAGTCTTCTACATACAATCTTTTCTCTTCTCACAGTTTAGGACTGCGTAGTCTTTTATTATATTCTATTATCACTGAACTGGTTATATTTTGTATGGCTATAAACTTGTTATTTGTTTTATGCCAATAAAATTATTTGAGTTGAGTTGAGAGTTATTATAGCTCGAAGTATCTTTCTTTCTATATATACTTTAGCTTAAGTTTTTTAAAACCCAAACTGGCATGAAATATCTGACACAATATAAAATGATGCTTCGCCATTTAAACAACTGATAACTACTGTTCAATGCTGCAAAATAAATAACAAGAAAATATTTCACGAGTCCAAACAATATTATACAAAAATCTTTATTTAACCTTGTTTAATTGTAAAATTCCTAATTATAATATTAGTTTTGCTTTTATATTTACTTTGTCTACAATACATAGTGACTTTCAGATATAGCAAGGAAGATATAAATATTAAATATCCTACTGAAAGTCGTAGTACAAATATTGATAATACGACCATGATCCTGACAAATTCATTCCAATTAATTATAACAGGAAGTCAAACGTAAATTACCTCGTAATCTTTAAATCTCTTTGCAGACGACAAAGAGTGAAAAAATGAGATATGAACGAACAAGCAATAATTTTGCACCGTAATAGATATAAAATCTTACCTTCTTATTCAAGTATCTGTCTATCACACGAAATTGTCCTCTTGATGTGTCAAACACATCGTTATGAACCCTTGAATCATAAGTAAAGTTTCCAGCCCGGGAATCAGTAATTCGCTTACGAATTTCGTCTGCTCTTCTTTCACTTTCTATGTCGTCTGCTTTCTTTTCATACAAGGAGTCTTTTTGAACTGTGACACTTGTCTCGATGCTTGCTGTCTTTCTGACTAAAACATGACCTTCAATCGCTGCAGCACTGGGGAATGAGACAGTTCCAATCGAAATTGAGTACACAGAAAGTAGCAGAATACAAGTTATAATTAGGATATAACTTTTCTTCAAACATCTTCCGATCTTCAACATTAACCTCATGTTAAAAATGGATGTTAAGTGTGTGTTTTTTTTAAAATAAATTACGCTAACTCTATTTTGCAGCAGAGCTTTTCAAATAAGTTTTTAAACGAAAATAAGATCAGTCCCTCTCTGAAAATATCCGTAAAGTTACTGAAATAAATGATATAACAGGACGTGTTCTTTTTTAAACATGATTTTATCTCCGCCTCCCCGTTGGTGTATTATCCATTAATTTAATAACACTCATATCAACACTGTAGTGCTTTATAAAAGTATCTTCTCCATTCCCATCATTAAAGGTGGTCCATCATTAAGGGTGGATTATTACTGTATATACAATGGTAACAACCAACAGTGTGCACTCTCCGCGAGACAACAAGACAAGGTATAGGTTTATATCACTGCGGTAAAATATAAACGGTATATTACGCCCAGTGAAATAACGCACTTCGACCGTACCATCTTTTTTCATAAGTTCAAGGGTGGATTAGGTAGAGATTAAAATGTAAACGGTGCAAAAATATCCTGTCCTATGTTTAATATCAATTCAGATTATGTAAATATAAACTTTGGTTAATCTGTAGGTAACTTCTTCAACCGGGAATACCCATTTGATAGATATTAAAACATACGTTTTCATTTATGTTTAAAAAAAAACTACTTAAACGCGACTCTGTACAAATTTATTTAGCTCAGAGGAGTTTTTTGAAAAGTGTGTGTTATTAGATGCACTCGTCCATTTAATATAATCACATATTCTTTATAGAGTTTAAAGGTTGATTTAATATCTATGGAGATTTATTTGCAATTAAATGTATAGGTTTTTTCAGGTGTAAAAGCTTATGTTAAAAATCCACATTTTGCAAAGATTGTTAATCAGACTGTTGAAAATATTTACCGCATACCTAACAAACTTTAAATCTCAGACTTATTTACTTTTTGTGGTTTAACATAGTATAAAATAGACATTTATTTCACCGAAAAACAAATACATAATTTAATGTAAACTATATACCAAAGAGTAATTACAAATGTCATATTTTTTGCATATTCAACCATATCCTACCGTACCGGTATTTTAAATGGTTTACCCCAATAAATCAAACTTGATGGCATTGTAGGAGCACATTTGTCTCGGAGCACATTTGTCTCACGAAGTGTGACCGATGTGTTCGTAAACATTCATATTTGCGACAAATTGGAAATGAGACTGATGTGTTCGACCCACAATGGAAAGGACACTCGAAGCACATTTGTCTCACTTTTTTCCATAAAATTCTTAAAAGGTAATAATTATGTCAACCTGTATACCGGCTACCAGCCATTGTTCTGTGTTTTCTGTATTCATAATACCGTTTTGAGGTCACTTCCGGTCAGTCAAAAAGTTTATGCCTCTGCATAGGAGTCATATATTGAATTTAAAAATATTCCTGTTCTGCATGTCACAAAAGTGAAGCATTCAGAACCTAAACATCTATGCAGCAAGTCTAATCGTATCGTTATCAGTTGTGATACGTCTATTTTCAATGCTTAAAGTTTTATAGTTGATTAATGGCACTAGAAATATTCTTAGCAAAAACAAGGTAGTATCTACGGTGGCATAAAGGGGACACGCGCATATGTATTGCGCATTTGGACCCTGACCGGGATCCTCGCATGAATAGTTCGACGCCCCGTGTATGTGTCGAACCTACAGCGAAAGAAGAAATTCGCAATAAATGTGAAATAATGCGTCATAAAAGTAGCAAAATGTAAACAATGTAGTACTTTGACTTCAATACAAAATTCTAAATCACTTCAACTGTACAAACTGCAAAAAAGCAGCAGATGAAAAATGCTTCAGATAATTAGCCAATGAGTAACTTTTTGGAGCTAAAAAAGTATACCAAAAATAAAAAGCTTTTGAGGAATACAAATAAAAGCATTTCTCAGGCATAATGGGCCTTTAAGTGATTTTATGTAGACTATAAAGGGAATACTACTTAGCGGTATATGACCTGGAATCAATTTCTTGTCTCGCGTCGACGAACGGGATGCGAAGCGAGACGCGAGATTTCGCGAGACGCGAGATTTCGGCGAGATGCGAAACGAGTCACGATATTGTATCATTCAATATCAACCAATTATGGTGTTCCGTTTGGACATAAGTAACATATTTGTCTCCCTGAAAAGGTATGCACAATGGTACAAAGGTGAAACTGAGATGGTACGATGGTACGATGGTACGATGATTAAAACACGATGGCACGATGGTGAAATCACGATGATGCGATGACACGATAGAGAAAATAATACATGTATCGCGTTTTCATCATCATGCCATCGCAGTTTCATCATATCGTACCATCGTATTTTACCATCGTAACATCGTCTTTCATCATAGTACCATCACGTTTTCATCATCGAGCCTTCGTTGTTTCACAATCGTACAATCGTTTCACCATCGTTCAATCGTTGTTTCACGTTCGTGTCATTGTGTTTTCACCATCGCACCATCGCGTTTTCATCAACGTACAATCGTGCTATCGCGCTGTCACCATTGTACCATCGTGAACGGGATTTAGTATGTTTCAGTGTACGCCTTCAGGCTAAATCAACCAATTTCTTGAATAAGAGATATTATAATTAATAGTTCACTGTAGGTTTTCATAAAGAAAGTATAAGCAAACCTATTGATGATTACACTCGAGGTAAAACTGCGAACCTCGATTCTAAAAAAGAATTTCTGCCGTGGGGAAATATGTGACAAATAATTCATACAAAATGACAAGAGACAAATGTGCTTTCTTGTCCCTTAAAAACACATGAGACAAATGTGCTTTCTTGTCCCTTAAAAAACTTGACCGGAGCACATTTGTCACACAAATGAGTTTTTTGGGGTAGACATTTGAGGTCCCATTTGTCTAATGTGCATCGGTCTTACGTAAGACAAATGTGCTCCGAGACAAATGTGCCCCTACATGGCATTCATCCGTTACTATTTTCTTACAGTAGCGTTTGTGTTTATGTACAACTTCAGTCATAGCGGCAAAATGACGTCATGCTCTAAACTATATCAAATAACGTCATTTTTTAAGTTTGAACAATGAACATCCTTATCTAAAACCCGTCATGTCAGAGCCTGAATAAAACTTACTGGTGAAACATCAATCTGATATGTAAATAATGAAGAAAGCGGCGATGATATCAATGATGATGACAATGACGATGGTGGTGGCGATGGTGCTGATAACAAAATTAATTCAAAGGGAGTTAATCAAAATGAAATTATTCAAAAAGTCAACGTTGGTTGTATACCCTGTTCTTAAAATTTGGCTTATTAAACGATGTTTTTTAATGTTGTTTTATGTTAATGTTTTTTTTTGTTACGTGTTAATTTTGTTTGTTTTTGGTTTTATGTACATCGCAGCAACACCGTAAAGGCCATATGACGATTTTCTATTCCAGCTTTACGCATTATTTCATGCACGAAGCACCGACGTTCCGCTAGCTAGCTTGATAGCTTCCTCAAATATAATAATCCGAAGTCTTCCGCGGGATTTTTGAACCCGCAAGTGATTGGAAATCAACGGCCTTAACGGGACTCCACTGAGGTAATGGCCACTGAGGTAATGGGACTGAAATAATTGTTATTAATGTTCCATTTTTATACAGGTCTAGTGCAAAATCTCAGATCGTTTTTTTTTCGAATTGTGCAAAATGACCTAAATTTTTTATTCAAATTGGGTTAAGAATAGCACACAAATACAATTTTCAACTTAATCTGAGTATGGTTCTTAATTATCTTTTGTATATCTTTATGTTTTAAGTGCCCCATAATTTTTTGTAGGTAACTCAAGTTTTATGGTTTTAGGCTTTCGAAGCTTAGCAACTCGGCCACGGACGTCATAAGTACAAAAAATGTAATTATAAATATGTATAAAACGCTTAAAATTACTTTGACAACCCTCAACTAATAGTAAACATATAGATAAAAATCGTGTGACTACGATACCCCTAAAAGACATGCGGGTTTAGTAGAATTGTTTTCGAAAGAAAGTCAATAAAATTTTAAACAGACGTAAAATAGATTGTAAATAAAGAAACAGTCGCAATATTTTTTGCCTTCATTCTTCAAAAAAAGACCGATCAAATTTCTTATCGCAAATACTTTTCCCTAATATAAGAAATCGGACATTGTTTACAGCAAACGGTAAAGATGCTTAGATGAAGATAGTAAATCAAAGTTTTTTTCTGCTTGTTTGTTAGATTTTTGCATTTTTTAAAACTGGTATATTAACCAGGCGAACAGCACAATCTAGTTTCCCCTGTGGAAAATAAAACAGTGACTATCTATCATCTATAAAGCTTGGTTCAATAAATATAGGATATTCGTATTCTAGGTTATAGTGACGTCGCAGACTAAACGGCACAAATACATCTTAATCACAGAGCATTTATAACATTCACATGATTCATTCACATTTAGTCTTAAACTATTGAAAATAAAAAGAAAATTAGAAACGGCAATTCGGTCAGGCATAAACGAAAATGAATCATTCTGACTTTTTACCTTCCTGAATTCAAGTACTTCCTGAATTCACAGTTCTAACGTCACGAATCCACGATTTCGAATTCATTCATATCATATTAAGTTCATTATACTCGTAGTATATTAAACATAAACAACAGCACATAGATAATCAAAGCACTGAAAGTACTGAAGTATACATTGTTTGATAATATACTAGTAATCCATTTTTGTCATCAAAGCCATGTTGATTTTAACCTACTGACATTGAAAGCAATAGGGGTCATCTTCTGACCAAGGACAATGTCCCTAACAAGTGACTCACATGCACCAAGGCTTTTTTCTTCCAAAGTTATTTACAAGAAAAGCATTGATGCAAAGCATCAAAGGGCGTCCAAGCAAGAAATGCAGCAAGTGAAGATGAACTAGTAGACATATGATGACAAGATATTTTTATAAATTTTCAATGGTTAATTGGTTTTTACCAGAATTGTATATCACTTATGAATGAACGGACGAAAGACATTGTTCATTATGAACTTTGATTGGCATGCTAGAGATTAGAATATTACTTATTATTTCTTTATGATCGTGATTATTAATAGCAACAGATATACATGTATACAATCATTTATAATCCATATGTGTAACGCATGATCAACACCACACTTGTGTAATTGTCCCTTATTATGGTATCGCTATTAGCGAAGACCCCTTCTTTAGATATCTGTTCACACTTAGTAAACATATGACACTGGTTATATTACCATGTTGATCATGTTGAGCATAATTGTTTTATTATACAATAATTGTAATATCTATTTAATTAAAAAAATTTACAGATTTTATGAATATTGTTTTTTTCTTTTTTTTGTGTTTTATGTGCTATTTTTATACTGAGTTTTTACGTTTACTTCTCTGTATTTTTATTAAAATTGTAAAATAAATATTAAGAATTCAATTGTCATATTGACCAACGATTATAAGTCAAAACTTAACTGGAAAAAGTCAGAAATTATGGTTAATCTTTCAATATATAATATTGTTTTTTTTAAACCATATACATGTACATTTGTATTTTTCTTTA